ACAGGATATGATAGATCCAGTGGACACTACAACAGCTGATGACTTTGCTCCTGATGCTGGTAACGAGGCTCATGCAAATGCCCCTCAACCACACATCCCAATGGAAACAAGGACAGAAGATATCCAATTCGGCAAAGAAAGGCACCAAACAGATTAGAATTGTAGTTACGGACTGATTAAGGTTACTTAGTACAAACGTTCTAATCGGAGAAAGTGTTCAAAGGTTATTTGAAAAAAAAATCAGTGGGGGAGGAAATGTAGTGTATTGTTAATGCACAGCTATATGATGCCTTACGGTAGTTTTGGTAATATAGAGTGGCTTTCTTAAGACAAAGAAGCTGATGACGTGTTATTTGAACGCCCTTTTATAACATACTGGTGCTCCAGTGATGTCATATGACTGCTGTAGTCAATCAAGATTAGTGTGTTTTTACATGTACCTCAGACATTGGTCACCATGTAGGTGTTCCCATAGCGTCAGCACCATGACACAGCATTGAAGTTGCTTCAAAAGGAATCCATATATAATTGTGTTGTGTTAGCAAAATAACCAAATTCCAATCTTTATTCAATGATCCTCCTCAGTAGCAAACTGTAAAAAAAAATTGTCAGTTAAAAAATTCAAAATTTGCCACCTCAAGAAGTCTTGACAAAGGTTTTACATCAGTGATATCAAATGCTCACTGACATATGTTGCAGCCCGGTCTTACAGCAATTCATACATATTTTACAAGGTGGCTAATTCGTTTGAATTTGCACGACCTCACTCGTACAAATTCATAAAATTTTTGCTAAATCGTATGTATTTTAGGAGTTGCACAATTCATATGAATTTGTACAAATGATCTACACCTAACCTGGCCCCTAAACCTACCCGTCACTGGGGTTTAAACAATCGTACAAAATCGTACAAGTGAGGTTGTACGAATTCATACGAATTAGCCACCTCGTAAAATACGTACGAATTGGTCGTGAGATAGCGTTGCAACATGTTATGTTTCAAGTGATGTACAAGTATGTTTGTGAATGACATAATCCATCTTCACAGATTTTTCAATGAAAAACAACTCAAATTGTACTCTTTAATAGTTTTGTGTTTTTATACTGCCAAGTAGCACTTCAAATGCCTGATGTTGTTTGAACTTTTTTGGTACTGCTTTTGGCCATTTTTGGAAAAATAATAATAATAATAATAAGTTGTGATTGTGATCACACTAGTCTTATGACAAAATAGTAAGGATTGATTGATTGACTGACTGACTGACTGACTGACTGACTGGATTTGGTTTAGAGATAGGAGAGGGATTCAAAATATCCACAGTATATAGTGGTATATTTTAACTAAAAATACATTTATATAAATTTTTTTTAATCAGAAGATAATCATAATAAAACACATACATCTACAATATTTTGATATATGTGTGATTTTTACAGTATACCTTACGAGCAATAAAGTTGCTGATTAAGCCCTAACTTTAGGTAATCCACGAACCGGAGTCACAAAAATAATTTTCACAGTTGTGTCATCACAGTTGTGTTTTTAAGATATTTAATCTAAGTTTCCGTATTAGTAGACTGTCTGCAAACACTTTCTTTTGATGGCCCCCTAATAGACATTCTACTGACTTTAAGTAACTTTGAAAGTACATGTTAACTTTTTTTTTACTAACCATAACCTAACAGTCTACTATTACTCTAATGAGAGTTAGGTGACATATACTTGCAAAAGTTACTTGGTAGAATGTTGAAATTGCTGATTAAGCCCTAACTTTAGGTAATCCACGAACCGGAGTCACAAAAATAATTTTCACAGTTGTGTCATCACTGTTGTGTTTTTAAGATATTTAATCCAAGTTTCCTAGGGGACTGTTCAAGCAGTGAAAACAATAAAGCCCAGGGAGCATCTGGGATCCCTGAAGTTAAGAAAGTATCTGAAAAGAAGATCACTTTTAATCAGCCTGAAGCTAATTAAATCACTACTGGATACATCTGGTGATAATTAGTCACTTATGACAAGAGTTGCTGAGACACTAAGTGATAATGAAAAGAAATTAATTGGTCTGACTGATTCCAGTAAATACATTTAACACTAGAGGCATGGAACCATTACGTAGATGGTCCCATGTGTGTTCATGTCTTCCTGTATTAGAGTTTTTGTTAATATTTTGAATTGAATTGTTTGGGGGTTTTTTTGTAATATTTTTGTTTTTAATTTAATTTAAGTTGGCGTTTAAGACATTTTGTTATGTTTTATGTAATTTTTTATAGTTGTTTTATTAGTTTATATGTTGCCTTTGTGACTAGCTGAAATAAAAAAAAATTAAGTAATTTTGTTTTTAAATGTTATATCATTGTTAATGTTTAATTTGTTTCAGGTCATTCAATTCAATTAATTTTTTTATTATTTTTGTTTTGGTCAATGAAGAGAACACAATAGAAAGACATGTTGCCTTTCCATTATTTTGTGGTTAGCTCATCGCATTTGATTCACAATCTAAGAAATGGTGTAATATATTAGATCACATTTGATATTCTAATTGTAAATCGTAGTTGTAAATAAAATCTTTTTATTTCAACTGGAATGAAATAAAGTGGCTGGCGTAGCTGTGCACTTCATTCAAAAATACACAGAGTATATTTAGTACATTTATTTAGCCAATAAATTAGTTAATTTGATTGACATTACAGAAAACGGCAAACTTTATTTTGAAAGTTTATTCATTATTCAGTTCATTTTAACTTATTGGTTTAACTTATTGAAATAATAAGGCCTGTTAAGATCGCAAGACCCATTTTATATTTCCAAAAATGAATGCTGCCCCAAGCCATACCGATTTAGGAAAGCAACAACAAAAACATAACATAGGAATAATGATGACAAGTCATTGTCCTAGCACTGTACCAGGGGAGGGGAGCGAGGGATATTTAAGAGACGTAGCATGTCCTAAATCTGAAGAGGGAGGAAGCAGTCGAAACGGAGCCTGATATAAGCATAAGATTTGAAAATCTGTTTCACATGCTGTTATAGCATTTAGGCTTCATTTTTCAGACATGAAAATTAAAAAGAGAAATAGGTTTAGATTTAGCTAGGGTTGATGCAGGTCTGAGCATGAAATACAAGCCACATTAAAGCACACTATTAATGCTTAAATGTAAGCACAATTCTTTGTTTCTTATCTTCAGCTTATGTTGTTTACTGCTTTTGTAAATGTTTTCTCTGCATTAACTGTAAACATTTTATGTCTTCATAGCGAACTTTGATCAAAGGAATGGATGACAGAACATTCAACTTCTCTCATCAGGAATTCTATTTGATTGGATTCACGGATCTGCAAGAGTATCGACGATATCTTTTCATTCCTTTTTTCGTCATCTTTGCTTTCACATTGTTTGCAAACTCAGTCATAATGATGGTGATTGTAAAAGAAAGCAAGTTACATGCACCCATGTACATTCTGATTGGGTTTACTGCAGCTCTTGGGTTTATGCAGCCAATATTTCTTGTTCCGAGAATGTTAATCAGTTTTCTGTTTGGCAAAAATATGATTTACAAAGATGAATGTCTTATTCAAATGTTTTGTCTGCATATGGCAGGTTGTTTTCAGTCGACTGTTTTGGTTGG